TTTTGGGGTTTCTGTAGGTCATTGGGGTTACTTGAGGTCAAATTCCCTCTTTGAGGACCACGTTGAGGTCACCTGGCATCAACCTCTAAGGCCAAGTAACTTGTACTATTTTGCCATGGTTTCACCAGCTGAATCCTGTGCCTCCCACTCTGGTTTGTTCCCTGATGCCTTCTCCCTCAGAATGCTGTTATGATTTACATTGGGGTTTTTTTTATGCTTTCATATTTGCTTTCTTTTTAATTCAAGGAGAGGTGGCTTCTTCTTCTCATGGAACCTCCATCCAGCTACTCCAAACTCTCAGCCTTTCCACTCTCTGGTGTGGATTTCTGACATACACTGTTTGACTTTCACCCTTGGAACTACACTGACCATGAGAAGCATCATCCCATGGAAAAAAAAAACATTTATTTGGTGGAAAACATCCCAATGTCAGGAAAATAAAATATTTCTATGAACTAGCAAGGAGAGCAGAAGATGTAGGTTCAAAATGACGTTTAATGAGAGCTGTGAATTTTATGACTTTTTTTCCACGTGAAACTGGTTTTTAGTTTTTACTTCAGTTTTCCCCAGCTGAACCCAAGGATGTTTAATTATTTTATTTTATTTTATTATTTTATTTCTTTTAATTTATATTTTATTTTATATTTTGTTTTATTTTATTTTGATTTTATTTTTATTTTATTGGTCAAAGATAGCTGTATCCAGAGAAGAATGTTGGTTCTGGCTCTCTGCATGGCTGACTTCCAATTGGTTCTATCTGAAACTGTGATTGGAGATAACCAGGACTTCCTTGGTGCACAGCTATGGGTTTTTCCTCTGCCATCTTTCCATAGCAAGATCCTGACCCAGACGGCTCAAAAATGTGACTCAAATGTATGGAATATCCAGATTTGGGGCCCCCAACATAGGAAGGACTTGGAGCTGCTGTAGCAGCCCTGCTCCCACCCAAAGCATCCACACAGTGTATTCCACTTATTGAACAGGAAAAAATCATTTTATTGTTGACCAGAGATTATGGAAGCCTTTGGAATTTCCCACCCAACAGCTCCTGTCCCTTTCCCAGATCCCAGCCTGGCTGGCAGCTGTGAGCAACCACCGACCTCTGAGCCAGCAACCAGAGTCCAGAGGCAAAATAACCCCGGGGATTGTGATTCCCAGGCTCTCTGGAAGCAACTCTGGAGCTCACAGATTTCAGGCTTTTTGTGGGGTATTAATAACGGCAGATGGCAACTTGCAGGGTGATGAAATGAGGTGTGAGCTGCTCCCTTGACCCCAAAAGCAGCGCCGGTGACAGACACAAAGGAGCTTTTGCTTCTGCCCTTCGAAGCTCCTGTAATGCACAGAAATAGATGTGGGGTAATTACTTTCTCTGCTGTACAAAAGGCCTGGTTCAGACTTTTTACACTCCCTGAAAACAGCACTGCCTCCTTCTCCTCACTGATTTCCACTTGCAAGATCTCATATTCCACCCGTAATATCTCATAGGTTTGTCCATTTAGAATTTTTGGGGTTTAGCATTTTGGTTTGTGGGTTCAAATAAACCCACTCTTTTTTTTTTTTGGCATAAATTTTGCATTGATTCTAGTTTTTTGCAACTCAAATCACTCGTAGTGAGGCCCTGGCACAGGTTGCCCAGAGAAGCTGTGGCTGCCCCATCCCTGGAAGTGTCCAAGGCCAAGTTGGACAGGGTTTGGAGCAACCTGAGCTAGTGGAAGGTGTCCCTGCCCATGGCAGGGGGTTGGAATGAGATGAGCTTTAAGGTCCCTTCCAACTCAATCCATTTTGTGATTGTATCACTTGTGTTTTAAGTGTTTTAAGTCAAGCAGTCCCTTAAATATTGAATCAGAGCTCTTATTCTTAAAGACATAATTGCTTTTCCTTGCTTTTATGTATTTAGTCTGAAGCTGCTGATTCTTAAGAGAGTGCACAATAAAGCATGAAAAGATTTTATCTATTCCATAAAATAATTGCTTTAAATCACATCTAACACTTAACTTATATACAGTTAACTCATCCAAATCATCAATCACATATATATTACATAACAGAAATGAAATCACAAACGTTGGGAAAATATAGATGCTTCATAAATGATGCCATCTGCATCTGTCTTTATTCCAATATCCCTTCAATGGAAAGGACAAATAAAAGGTCCAAGAGCTCCCATTTTGGAATGGGGGATTTCATCTGGTGACTGAGGGACACACTGCACTTAAAAGAAACATAAAAATCCCTGTTTGGGTGTGTTTTTCCCCCCTATCTCTAGATACAGGTAGCAAGGACAAAATGCAACATGCTCATCAAAAAATCAACCCAGACATTAAATTTTTAAGAAAAAAAATTAGCAGATTTCCAAGCACTTGTGCTCCTCTCCCCTTTGGCAAAGGCTGGTAGAGACTGTCCAAGAAACACCACGCACGTACCCGAATAGAAGCTCCCCACAGAGCTCATCTTTCCCACTCTCCCCTGTGTTTCCAAAAGCTGCAGTTTTGACTGACAAGCTGTTGAATTCCTCAACATGTTCACGAAATGAAAAAAAGCGCAATCCTCGAGGAGGGATGGAATTCCACCTGCTTCAATCCCTCCCCGAGCCCGCTCCACAGCCTGCTCCTCCCTGCTCCACTGCTTCACTCAATATTACACGTGGAAGATGAGGGGGAAAAAATCGAACATGAACGTTTTCCTTTTTCTCCGCTAAAAGTTATGACATTAAAATAGCTTTAGGTATGCTGAGTGTTCACCCAGCAATATCCAAAGGATGTGCCAATATCCTTTAAAAATAAATTCAAGCTTCAGTCTTGGTGCAGGTAAATAATCATGTGAAAACTAATGGGATATTTTCAGGTTTAACTTTTCCTTCCTAGTTTTCTTGCTGTCTCACTAATAAATATTTACCTAATCTTCCTCATATAAAACAAGGAGCAGAGGTGTATTAGTATTTCAAGGAATACACCATTACTAACAGGAGTTGCTACAAGGCAGGGAGAGTTGCTTAAACTCACTTTTTATGGATATTTGTTTATTAATATCTCTGCTTTGCCAGCTATGGAATCACCTCTAATGTACTTCAGCTCGTTGGAGCTATTTTGGGGACTAATTTATTAAAACAAGGTGAAATTTTGTTTTCTCTGCATGTTAGTATCAATTAATAATCTGCATGAGAGGATTGCTGTGCTGTCAGAGGAGGGGTGTGTAAAGAGCAACATTAACTGCTGAGAGAAGGGAAAATGCCTGAAAACAGATGATGTCAAGTAAAAGATAACAGGACATAGCTGTCCTTATCCATAGCATGGAACAAAATAAAAAATCCCTCATCCAGTCCCCTTCTGAGGGAGTTATCTACACTGAAACTTCTTCTTTAGTCTGGTTTAGAGTCATGGAAGTAGGCCAGACTCAGGTGATGTTGCTGTGTCTCCCATTAGAGAGGGCAAATGCAAGAGAGTCACTGGCAGGACAGAGAAATAGAAAGAAATCAGTATTAGGAAAACTGGATTGGAAATTTAATTTACTTATTTATGTATTAAAAACCACAAATATAATATCTATTATATCTCATATAAATTTTAAGTTATAATACACTATATAAAAATAATATTTATTGGATATATTATAATTTATATGATATATAAATTATATGTGTATATATGATATATAATAATTATACAGATATATAATGATACATGCTATATCAACATTATTATTCAACTATATTAAAAATACAGAGACTCTAGTATTATATCTATATGTGTTTATATTATGAATAATCTGTATTGCCTTGTATTTTCTTGTAGTATAGTACAAGTATGGAAGGAATGGAAGGATGGAAGACAAACCCACACCAGATTCCAGCAGGACAGAACACAACAGACTGGGACACGATGGACCAGCCCCTGCCAGAATTCACCTGACTGACTGAAACATGAGAGAACAGAACAGAGGAGAGGGAAACAGAACTCAGAGCCTCGACCCAAAGAGAAGAAATCAGGGCAAGGGAGAGGAGAACTGAGTAGAACAGAAAGGACCAGCCCAGCCCCTAACTCAGCACCACAGATCACCACACACCAAACCCAAACACAACTGTGCCAAACTCAACAGAACAGACTGGAGCCAAAAACCCTACAGCCGGGTGGGCCTTGCCAATGCCCCACAACCAAAGCCAAAGATGTGCCCCTCACACCACCCCAAATCACCAAACACTCCCCAGGCCCCCCACCACGGTGCAAAGCTTTGCTCCCACTGTCCACCTGATGCTGCCCAAGTCCATCTGGTGTGGACACTCTTCTCCCTCTCCACACCTCCCTGAGCCTGCTGCTTGACTCCATCCTCTCCCTCATGCCAGAGCCCTGCTGGGAAGGCAGGCTCCTGTTGTCTACCCTTGGATCATGACAGCCCCCTCAGCTTGCCAGAATGCCACAGGGACACGCCACAGCTACACATGGCCTTCCTCAGTGAGAGCTGTCCAGTCAACCACTCCTCAACCACCTTCCTGCCCTCACTGCTAGGCCATGACACCAACACCCACCATGGGCAATGTCACCTGTCCCTCTACTGCCAGTACAACATGGTCACTGCTGGCAGTCCTGCCAGTAGAAACATGGGGAAAACCCCACACCCTGCACCCGGGGCGCGTGCTCACCTGGCCTGGGCCCCCTCCTCACCCCTTGCTCCAGCAATGTCATGGCTCAGATGAGTGTTGTCCAACTCTGCTGTGCACCCCGGGTAAGGGCTGACACAGATCTCATCTTCTGAGATATCCTCTTGGCAGGATCTTGCTGCTTGGGGTTTGTGTTGTTCGGTGCCTCGACGGACCAGGAACACCAAATACAGCCAGAGCTCTGCTCCATCACTGGCCATCCACCAGCCTCCTCCTCTTCATCCTCCTCCTCCTCTTCCTCTTCTTCATCCTCCTCCTCTCCAAACTTCTCCTCTTCATCCTCCTCCTCTTACTCCTCCTCCTCCTCCTCCTCCTCTCACCTTCCTGCAATAAAACGGGCACCTACCATACAGGATGATGCTGGCGTTGGTGTTGCCCAGCTTGTTCGTGGCCACGCACGTGTAGTTGCCGTAGTCCTTCTCCGAGACGTTGAAGAAGGTCAGCGTGGACAGGCGGCCCTTGCTCTCGATCCTCACGCCGTCCAGCCCGTTCGCTAACCTGCGGGGAAACGGGGTCACGGTGCTGAGAGCACGGGGATGGGGCTCTCTGACAGACCTTGTCCCCTCCCCGGGCACCCCTTTGCTTCCCACCAGCCAACAGCGGTATGCAGAATCACAGAGTCACAATATCCTGAGTTGGAAGGGACCCACAAGGATCATCAAGTCCAGTTCCTGGCCCTGCACAGGCCCATCCCCAAGAGTCACCCCCTGTGCCCCAGAGGATCATCCAAACCCTCCTGGAGCTCTGGCAGCCTTGGGGCTGTGCCCACTGCCCTGGGGAGCCTGGTCAGTGCCCAACCACCCTCTGGGGGAAGAACCTTTTCCTGAGATCCAACCTGAGCCTGCCCTGACACAGCTCCAGGCCATTCCCTTGGGTCCTGACATTGGTCACACACACACGTTCCCCCACTGGACTTGTGCATCCAACCAAGACAAATACTTTATCCCACTTTCCCTCCCTTAACCCATCAGCCTGACTCGTGTCCCACAGCCACCACCCCTGGAAGAAACAACCCTGGGACTCCCTCAGCCCTTAGACCCACAAAAACGAGTTCATCTCAGCCTTCTTCCACACAATGCCCTCAGGCACTGTCACCTCCCTCCGCCTCCTCCCAGCCCCTCACCTGGTGTCCTCCTTGAACCACTGGAACTCCGCCACGGGGACGGCCGAGGCCTCGCACTGCAGGATGCCCTTCTGGCCCACCGAGGCGCCCGTGTTCTTGGCGTTGGAGATGTACGGCGGGTCTGCGGAGACGTCGGGCTGCGCGTCACGCTGGGCCACGCGCATCCAACTCCCCCCACAACCCCCCATCCCTCGCACTCACAGTTCACGGTGACTTTGACTTTCCGCACGTCCGGGACGGCCACGTCGTTGACGGCGCTGCACTCGTACTCCCCGGACTGCTCCCGCGTGATGCCCGTGATCTCCAGATACTCGTCCTCACTCACAAAGCCCTGCCCTGGGAGATGTATTGAACACGTGGCACCATCACCCAAGACACCGGCACCTCCCTGTGCCTCTGCCCTCCCCGACGCCCTGCGTGGGCGTCTGTCATCCCCTTTGCACAGAAAGCTTGGGACATTACGGCGGATGACTTGGATGGGGAAACCTTCAGGCCCTGGGAGTTAGTCCATTACCTTGAAGGTGCATGCCCTTCCCCCCTGCCTCTGCCACATGGCCCTGTGACCCCATAAGGAGCACACACACAGACCACCAGGGAGGGACGGATGAAAGAGGAAGTTTATTGGGGAGATAGGGGTTTATAAGGCTCTTGGGAGGGTCAAAGGGGGCCAATCACAGGTGTAGGGTCTTACAAAAAAACCAGTCAGGTAGGAAGTTAACAGCCAATAGGAAAGGGTTAACAAAAGGCCAATGAGAACACCTTAGGACATCTTCCCAGGACACTTCTGAGGGAGATAAGGGGTCTTTACAGAGAGTGTCGGGAAGGATGAGCAGTGACTTTGCAGAAATGCAAAAAGCCATCTTAAGACATGTTTAAACAACATTAAAAACTCCTGTTTCTATAACATTTGAGTTGTTTTCTTCTTTTTCTTCACTAGTCCATCTTTGGCAGGACTTTTTCCATAAATCCATTGCCACAGGACATCACTTGACAAGCCTCCTCACCCCCACACCAAGGCTGAAGAGTCAGCAGCTCCACCCTACATAACAGACTGTGAGTTACCTTAATGCCACCCCAGCCACCTCTATGGGGACATGCATCCACCCACACAAGCCAGGCAAGACCCCTCGTTGGAGCCAGGTCTCACCTTTTCCGGAGAGGTGCCGCCACGTGACGGTGGGCTCCGGTCTCCCGAAGGCCAGGCACATGAGGGTCACGCTGCTGCCCTCGTTCACGGTGATGTCCGACGAGATGTTGACTATCTGGGGGGGCACTGCAAGACACAAAGAAGACAAAAACCACCATCAACACACCGGCTCAGCCGGCCCGGCCAAGAGGCTCCAAGCACGAGACCCGTCCCATCACAGCACGTTGGTGTCCATCCCGTCACCCTGCCCAGACACCAACTCCATGTCTCCAAACGAGTACCATGGACTGGAGCCGAGCACAAATGCAGGGCATGAAGGGGTCCACTCACCGTGCCAGCCCCCCCGCTCCACGGCCGAGACCCTGATAACCAGCTCTCATTATGGCCTGCAACAAGGCTCATATTTTAGCATATTTATTAAAGCTGTTAAAATTACTGAGCGTCTGCTCCATTCAATACTGGCCATGGTGATTTATATTCCTCTATCCCCAGATACTCCATCTAATAAATAACTTGGCAATCTCCGCTCCTATAAATATCCCCAGCCATGGCAAAAAGCAATTAAAGCCCGCTCACCGATGCTGCTTCCCGGTGCTCCGGGCTGTTGGACACAGCCCCCAAAAGGGTCTGCACCTCAGGGAGTGAGTGAGGCCATACAGAACAACCCTCCTCAAAATAAACACCACACCTAAAATGCCCAAAATGATGCCCTGTGCCCCCTCCCCAAGCCCACAATGTGCCAGGAGCCCCAGCTCAAGTGGCATCACATGCCCAACCCTTGCACACTCCGGGCTCTCCCACAGCGCTAGGATTCCAGGATGATTGTCTGAAAACCACCATGGCTGACACCAGCACTGCCTGGAAGGGGATGTGAGTGCTGCCCAGCTCTCCTTGCACCCCCAGAGAGGCTCTCCTCACACCCCTGGGGAGGTTCTCCTCTCTCCCAGAGCGGGAGAGGCGGCACAGCGGGACAAGCCGCGGCAAAGATGCGGCACAGTCCGTGCAGCCCGACGGGTTCTGCAAAGCAGTAAATTTCCCAGCTACTTGACACATTAATATAGAAGTACAGTCTGTTATAGCAGAGGGAGATTGTCTGAGTCCTTCAGGGGAAAGCAGCAATCCAAAAATGAAAAGTGTATGCCGGCGACTGCTGGAAAATGTAGTTAACACTCGGAGCGGAGCCGGCCAACTCCAACAGCGCAGCCACCATGAGCTCTGGGATGGCTGCAAATGGCCCTTCCTCACTCAGACAAGGAGATGACATTAACCCCTATTACCAGCAGCCTTGCACCTCTCCCCTCCAATAACAGCCCCTCAAACTGGTACCAGGAACATCCAGAAACCACAAGAACATCCAGGACAAGCCTTCCCACAGCTGAGCATTTTTTCACCTGCTCATGAGCCTGCAAACCAGCCCTCCTCGTGAGCAGTTCTGGTCCAAGACAGCAGCACCACTAGTGGACCCTGCTCCAGAGAGCAGCCTCTCTCTCCCTTGTGTACTCCTGCCATGAAGCTGGACTAGTGATAGCGTGAGACGCAGAGCACAAGCAAAATCACAGCCACTGTTCTATCCTTGCCCTCCCAGCCCTCTCCAGCTCATGCCTGACATCCCTTTCACATCCCCTGAGTCCCACACCACAAGTAAAAAAGTGACATGCAGAAACTCGTGCTCTGAGCACAGCTGTGAGCCTGTCACCCTTCCCAGGCACAGAAATACTTTCATTCCTGTGGAAAAAATTATCACTACCCATAACCACTACAGTCCCAGTGCTCCCATTCAGAAAACCCCAAGCCACAGGAACACACACGTCAGCCTGAAAGCCCTTCCCTCAGCAAAGGATGCTGACACAGACATGCCAGCAGGTCTCACAGCAGGGAACAGCACTTCCCAACCCCCCAGTGCCACTGCCTGCCCTAATCCAATCAGGAATGCCCCTGAGAGCCAGCAGGGATGTGCAGTGGAGGGATACCCATGGACAGTGCGGGGACCCCAGCTCATGGCTCAATACCCTGCCACGGCGGCGATCGTTGCCTATGAGGTTACCAGGACTTGGAGAAGGACATCAGAGGACCTTGATTACATTTTTATAGATCCCACAGACTGGGCTGTCAAGGATGGCGTCTCAAGGACGCACTGGCTTTGCCACAGGAGGACTTAATCCTATGGGAGGAGCAGGTGGGAGCTGGGACCACATAGGGATGCAGGCAGGCTGAGTTCGGTGGCAAACACAACTGTGGATAAACCCAAGCTGCTGCCATGCCCTGTAAATACCAGGAGGCAGGTACAGCCAAGGCACAGGCAAAGCTGCCCTGAAATGCACATCCCACCTGAACTGCCTTGTCTCAAGGTGGGGACAGCTTGGGATTGGTTCTGGGCACAGAGTCCAAATGCTCTCCCCCATCCCCTGTAAATCCCTCTTGGTCCCCTCCTGGATCAGACAGCCCTGCTAATGTCTCAGAGCCCTCCAGCATGACTGTGGATGCTGTTCCTAGTCTTTTACCTGTTGACAGCATCCTTTCCCTGGTTCTCTACATTTCTCTTTCTCTGCCCTACACGGCTGCTGGGGAAAAAGCAACAGGGCAGAACACCATCTCCATCCCCCCTTACCCCTGGTCCCGCCTTCATTGTAAAAGCCTTCAGCTACAAGTAAATTGAATACAGAATAAATCCTGAGGAAGCGAGGAGCAACGTGGTCCCGCGGGAGCGGCGAGCGGCCCGCGGAGGATTTCGTCAACCCTGCGTAATATTAATCACGGGGAAGTTAATGCATAAGGTTTGGTAAGCCAAAAAATACATTTGCACTGTAATTTCTTGTTTGTTCGGAAAGCCGGTGAGGGAAATTGAATGTGAAAGCGATGCCACTAAATTCAATAACAATAAGCCCGTGATTTATCTCCTTCCTTTACCACTCGAGACCCGAACCGCGCGATGCACCGATTCACGCTCTCCATCGGGCCTGGGCACGTGCCGGTGTCTGCCACCCTTCGTGGGGACTGTGAGGTGCCATCCCCCCTCTCAGTTCCCAAACTGAGGCTGCAAATGGCCCTCTGGGGCTACATCACACACCGAGGTTGCCGTGTCCTGATGCTACGTGCCATACTCAGGGGATCTCTGGGACTCTCCCAAAACACCTGCTCCGGGCACCAGGGATGGCTTTGCACTGGTTGTCCCATCTGGGGACAAAAGCAATGGGACAGCTCAGAGCTTGTGATGGCTGCGTGATCAGTGACTCCACACGACGCTGACGCACGCGGCCGCGTGCGGGCTGACTCATCCCCGGCCGCTCCGGAGCGCCGAGCCCCACCGGAGGCACTCGCCACCATGGCCCTGGACTATTTTTAGCTGCCAGATCATTCCTGCTGCACGCCTCGGAGCAGAGAGCCTGCATGAGCACCGCGGCTGACACATGCAACTGATGTCCCTCCTCCACATCATTAGCTCCCAATCCATTAAAGGAGACCTCTTCCCACACGGCGATAAGGGGAGATGACAGATGGATACCCACGGGCTCTTCAAACCGCCACTTGCCCACCTCTGCTCAGGGGATGGGTCCCCATAGGGACTGCAGAGGGGGACATCTCATCTTTGGTGCTCTGCAGGGAGGTGACAGCCTCCTGGACACTGCCCCACCTACGGCACGCTGTGCTCCTGCCTCGCTTACCATCCCCTCTCAGACACCTCCTGTTTTGGGGAGATGCAGCGTTCATGCTGCTCCTTCAGCTCTCCAGCTGCAGTGTCCAGCTGTGCCCTCTGACAGGAGATGCTGCCACCACCAGGGACAGGGACTGTCACCCTAGCAGGGGCTGGATGCCTGCTGGAGCTCTTTCCCCAGCATCCCAGCTGCCTATAGCCCCAGGCACCTCCAGCTCTGCGTGAGCCTCCCCGGCACAGGTAGGATGGAGCTGTCAGAGGTGTCACTGTGCAAGGTCTCATTAGCGTACAGAAAGTCAGCACAAAGAAGGCAAATATGCTGAAAGCTCACATTTTGCCTGTGCTTTCCATCTCCTTCACTGATGAGAAGCACAGCAGGACAGCACTGGGGCCTCCTCCTGTCCCTGCTGAAGGCACCAGCGATACAAGACCTTCCCAAGAACAGCTTCCGTTTGGGGCTGATGCCTTTAAAAGGGGCACCTGCAAGCCAGCTCCAGGCTGGCAGACAGAAATGGATGTGCTTCCCTGTCTCCCAACTCATCTTTGGGTTTGGGGTACAGGAGACACTTGCAAGGACACACTGCACAAACTCTCCATGTCCCATCCAGTCTTTGGGGGAAGAGACTGGGGCAAGGAGGTGACATCAAGAATTTTAACAACATGTTGCTTCTTGGCAGCAAAGATTATTGTCTCTAATCGATCCCATTCCGCTGACAGCCCAGTCTAAGAGGCTCATCAGAGCTGATTTTATTGAGATAATGCACTAAGCCCATCTGAAAGCTACAGACTGGTCAACAGAGTGTTTTTTGTCAAATTTCCCTGCCAAGCGAGCGGCGTGACACAGCCTCACGTGTTCTCCATTTCAGGCATATCTTCCCTTTCCCTTCCCTGGGTCTTGAATGCTGCCTTTTCACAGCCTTCCCCCAGTAAAACACTCTTTGTGTGATCCTCTGATGAGAAGGGACATCGCAAAAATTAAACACAGCCATTGAACACCCTTTCCCAGGCGGAGTTCACCCGACTGCTCCCTGTGCATCCTTTTTCTCCAAGTTTTCACGTTGAGCCAGGGAAAGCAATAAAACCGAAACTCACAGCGTTATACCTACTGTGTAACCACCTGTCAGTAAATTTATGAACAATTAGGAAGTGAGAGTGCTTCCCAGGGAGCTATTTGTGCGCGCGCTAAAATGTTCTTTCTGTTCGGAAATATAATCGGGAAACAACTTCTCCAGTTCTCCCTCCTCTTCCCCATTTTTGCTTTTTGCAGTAATTAATCATCTGCTGCTGTGCTTTTGTTCCAGCGGCTCCTGATCCCTGTGACACATCCCGATGGCTCCTTTTCACCAATTTTAAGAAGCCTCAAGAATGGGAGCCCAAGGATGCTCTCTGGGTGCTTTCCATCCTGTCTCTTTTCCATCCTCCCACCCGGATTTTGGGACAGTGGCTGTTCCTGCCTGGGCAGTGAGTACTGATTACTTCCCACCAGTTGGACTCTTCCTCTCTCCAGACCTTCCCCCTCTCCGTGCCCTCACTCCTTCATTACTTTTTCATTTCTTCCCTTTGCTGCCTCCTGTCCTTTTGATACTCAGTTCTGTGTGTGCACATTTCTTTCTCTCTTCCCTTTGTTCTACAAGTCTCTGGGCTTTTCTTCTCATCCTGTTTTTTTGTTTTGTTTTTATTTCCCCTCCACTTGCTTTTTTTCTACCATCTTTGCTATTCCTTCCAGATTTTCTCTGGGCTCCTTTGCCTCTGAATTCGCTGCCGCATTGCTGCTGCATCACCTTCATTTGGCCATTTTCACTTTCTTGCCCATCCTCTACTTCTTCAGGGAGGGAGGAGGAGCAAGGTAAGGGTCTGGTTGCACCTTCCCAGCCTTTTGCCATTGGAGAAAAAGATCTCAATGGGACTGGCATGGGGTAGGGGTGGCCCTTTCAGAGGCTTGAGGAATCAGTTGTTATCAAAAGGAAAAAAAAAGACTCAATTTGTTTTTGAAATACTGACTGAAAATCTCTGCCTGCACTGGTGCTGCTGTGAGAGGCAGTGGATGAGACACAGGATTGGCTCTGGGAGAGCATCCTTATGTGCATGTGGAAAACACACCACACAACCACAACCTCAGTACTGTAAATGAAGGCCATGGTCCTCCAAAACCTGCTCTGGTCCCCAGGGCGAGGAAAGCAGAAAACACCGAGATGGGAAAATGGATTGTGCCAACCAGAAACTAAGAGAAATAATGCCGGCAGCTGGGAGAGGCTTTAATGAAAAATCCATGGTGAGTAGGATTAAGGCAGTACAGGAAAGGGGTCCGTAAATAAATCAAACCAGAGGACATCTGAGGAATACCAAAGACCACTATTAGGTAGGGATGGCCAGTATCAATGTTCACTGCCAAAATCTCCACCAGACAGGATCCCAAAGTCACAGCCTGCACCAAAACACTGACCCTGAGCTCCATGTTTCAGACTGAAGTATTCCCTGAAACAGCCCAGGCCAAGAAGGCACAGCTGTGACATGCCTGTGGTCTACCACACTCCTCACACCAAAACCATTCTGTGGCACTGTGAGGTAAGACCTCCTGGTTCCTCCTTGCAAGGTTGCACCTCCCAGGAGCAGAGGTGGGCTTTGCAGGGCTCATCCCAGGGGCAGGAGGGCTCGCCAAGGTCCAGCCCCATGACATCCTCCACTCAAACTGTTTATGAGAAAAGCAGGATGAGGTGGCTCATCTTCTCCTTATAGGAGATTAAATGCCTGTTCTCTCTGCATTCCAAACTCTCCCCAGAACACCCTGACGTGCCACAAGCCCCGCGCATGCCCCTGAAAGCATCTGTCCCCTCCTCACGAGGCAGTGCCTGAAAAAAAAAAAAAAAGAGGAGAAGGGAGACAAAAAACCCCTTCTGGCTTCCTGCCATCTACACTCTTATAAACCCTGTTAATGGCTGTTGCAATGAACCAATGCAAGAGACATATTAATAGTGCTACTAAGAGACACATTTACTGTTGACGGCAGTTCCCTGGCAGATTTATCGCTGGGTTGCTGGGAGGGAAGGCCGGGCCCCGCAGCAGCACAATTAAAACCCAATTGAAGACGGGGACGAAGAATCAATACCCTCTCCGGCCAACTTATAGTTTTGCAAAAATACAAATAGAAATTAATTGACCTGAATGCAGTTGCTAACTGGCCATTACTGCCTGTTTGTCAGCCCGCTGGCACAGTGAGGCCAGTAAACAGAGGAGAGACCTAAACCTCAGTTTTGAGGCCAGGCTTTGCTCCCATCCCTGTAAAGTGTGTGCTCTGCTTGCAGTAACAGACAGGACCAAATGCATCTTTGGAAAACTGCTCCCTTCCTCCCAGCACTGAGCAAAGGACTGTATGTTATTCATCCTCACAGAAAGCCCCCTGAAAGCACATTTTATCCACCAAGGAACTGCAGTGGGGCTGAATCTTAGAATGGTTTGGGTTGGGAGGGACCTTAAAGATCATCTTGTTCCACCCCCTGCCATGGGCAGGGACACCTTCCACTAGCCCAGGTTGCTCCAAGCCCTGTCCAACCTGGCCTTGGACACTTCCAGGGCTGGGGTAGCCACAGCTTCTCTGGGCAACCTGTGCCAGGGCCTCCCCACCTCACAGGGAAGAATTCCTTCCTTATATCTAAACTAAATTTCCTTTCTTTCAGTTTGAATCCATTACTCCTTGTAACTACAGCTCCTGATGGAGAGTCCCTCTCCGGCTTTCTTTAAGGCTCCTTCAGATACTGGAAGGCTGTTATGAGTTCTCCATGTAACCTCCTCTTCCTCAGGCTGAACTGAAGGATTTGCCTCTCGGGCCACCACCATCAAAGGGACAGCAAGGTGGCACCTACAGATGGATTTTCTCACAGACCAGCTTAGACAGACTCTGTGGCTTAACACATTGAAAGGGAAATACAGACCCTGCTCAGCATGGACCACTTGACCCGTGCCTGTATCCCCAGCTCCTCTCAGGCTGTGGATAAGCACCACTGCTGAGAACCACAGTCATCACTGCAGTGGGAGCAATTCAACAGGACTTGCTCACAACCAGGAAAAAAACTCCCAGCACAGTCAGAAATGCCTCATCACCAGACTCTGGACACAAACTATCTCTCACCTCCACCTGCCCAAGCCTGGCAAGTGCCTGCAAAAAGGGGCGAGGAGAGCAGGGGCTGAGCATCGCTGCCAGTTCACCTGATTTCATTAGGTGCAAAGCAGTCGGATACTTCACCGGTGTTGACTGGATGGATTAGCACGATTAGAGAGCAGACAGGATAAACAGATTAAACTTCACAGATGGACAGCTCGCACGCAACTCAAAAAGGGGGAGAGGGGGAGCTCCAACCAAGGGGATGGAGGGATGCTCCCAGTGGGTCTCTGCTCCCCTCTTCCTGAGGTGAGCGCTCCCCTCACCACCACAGCCTGGTGCACGTGATCCAGGGTTTCCCAACACACTCCCACTGACACCGGGCAGGAGAACCTCTTGGATAGGTTGCCACAATCAACCCCTGCCTCCTCCCAGTGAGAAGAATACATAAATACATACATAACTCTGCTGGGGGCTTCTCAGAGACATGTCGAGGCTGAGAAAGTTTTCAGATTTGCTCATTGCAAAATCAATACCCATCAGCTGTTTGAAATTAAAGGAAAGATTAGGTCCTGGTTTTATACACGCTTTATTGTATTCCGAGAGCTTTCTACTCAGCCAAATAAATCTTCTTTAAGAGGATTAGGAAACTTTCATTATCTTTATCTAACCTGAACTAACACTAACTCTGAAAAATTAATCTAGAGGCCGGACAAAAGCCAGTAGCTGGTGCAAAGCCGCAAGGATCCGGAGGCGGCATCCATCAGAGTGCTACGGGCACCTGGATCCCCTCATCAGAACAGCCCCAGGATGCTGCTTTGCAACCCAACAGCATCTGCCACATAGACACACTTGCCTATGAAACCCTGTGCCAAAAGCCCTTTGGGGTCCCACTGTGACTTCAACATTCACAGAATCCAGCCGCTCCCAAAATCACAGGGCCTCGTGCTGCTCGGTTCTGCTTCTCCCCCACACACCCTTCCTCCTTCTTCCCCACAACTTTATGTGCCAAGCATGATGTCATATGGTCTGGAATACCCCTTTGGTCAGTCTGGGTCACCTGTCCTGGCTGTGTTTCCTCCCAGCTTCCCAGGTACCCCCAACTTCCTTACCCGTGTGGCAACGCAAAAAAACAGAAAAGGCCCTGGCTCTGTGTAAACACTGCTCAGCAATAACAAACACACCCCTGTGTTCAGAATAAGCCAAAACACAGCCCTGTACTGGCTCCTAGGAAGACAATTAATTCTACCCCAGCCAAAACTGGCACACCACGCAATCCCTGAAGCAACTGATATTGGTTCCATCTCCATCACCAACAGGGCCTCCAAACCCTTCACAAATCCAGACACCCGTGCAAATCAAACCATCCAGCAAGAGCACAAGGTATATTCAGACCTACCTTGCACGATGAGGTGGACGCGCGAAGTCTTGGGGTGATTGTCTGTCTGCACGGAGCAGGTGTAGGGGCCCTCATCGTACACGTCCACGTTGTGGATCTTGATGCTGTACTGGGTCTTGGTGTTGGAGAGGATGACCACGCGGTTGTCTATAGACCACTTGTCATTGCCGGCATACAGGATGGTGCTGCGGTTCAACCACGCCACCCGCGTGACCCGCTCATCCACAGTACACCTGCGGCGGGAGAGACGGAGCGTCACACACCTGAGAGCACCCAGGGAGCGTCCCCGACCCCCAAACGGGCTGGGAGCAGGATGGGAGCTGCGGTGCTGGCTCCCCATCACTGCCAGCACGGAGATGGCACATGCCACGGCCGCACAGCCCTGCCCCACATCCTCCCATCACCCGAGATTTCGCATAAATGGCAGGTTCACCAGAAATAAACCCTCCCGTTTTCTTTGATACACAACTCAGGAACTGCAGACAAAATTCTCGTTGCATTCAACCTCCGCAAGCCACGCAGACTATCCCTACCTACCATCCCTACCCCCCCACCACCTCCATCACCCCCCTCCTCGCCCCCGCCGTGCACTGAGAATTTCAGATGAAGCTGTAAAATTTGCTGACAGTTGGTCTTGTCGGCACGGCCCTCGAGCCATCCCTGGGGTGATATACACGGGGACAGGGGCCGCAGAACACGCGCAGGGAGAGGGGAAGGAGAGGAACAGTCGGAGACGGCCAAGCCAGCACGCGGGGAAGGGAAGGGAACATTTGGATAAGCAGCTGTAAATCCTACAAGTGCCTTGAAAACACAGCGCGGTCGTTTCCATTATTTATTTCCTGCCTGGCTCCCACCCTCCCCGCTTCGAGGCACGCGGGAGCTCAGCAGCTCCAGCCCACAGCACTGACTTACACTTGGCAAAGGGGGGGGGGGAAGGGAATTAAAATGTTCCTGGAAATCATGGCTATTTCGTTCTGTTTGATAGATATCCATCTATTTACTCATGGCCTTCCCTGCTGCCTCTGTGGCACCTGTGGTACAAGCACTGAGCATTTGGCTAAATTAAGAGCCTGGCCCCTCTCAGGAGCTTCACGTTTCCCACCTGAGGACCACGGTAGGGAAGCTGTCCCTTGGCATGAAAGAAAACCGGGAAAACCAAGCCAGGTGTGTGCTAGTGCCGGTGGTGGCAGTGCTGCTGCAGCTTTGTGCAGCTGAGATCGCAGGAAAAGGCACCTACAGTCAATCAAGAAACTCATGTGAGTCCCTCTCCACATGTCTGTAAATTTGGAGAGAGGCTGGAAGGCTGTTCCTGTCCTTGTCCCCACCACAGGACCTCTCCTGCCCAGGCTTCCGAGGTGTTATATGCCTCCCTCGCTGAGATTGCAGAGCGTCACTTCGATCGAGATTATTAATCGGGCGGAGGGAAGGGGCCATACTTGGCATGTTTGAGGGTCCCCCCCGGGCGCTCGGTTCGGAGGAACGAGCCATATATCCTCCCGCAAACAAGTCCTTTTCCCCTTGCAGGAGCCGTTCGTCTCTGCCAGCCACACCACGTACGGACGCCGGGAAAGACGGATGGCCCTCCCCGCCCGCCGCAGCACTGCCGGAATGCCGGGAGCCTGCCCGGGTGTCAGACATATCCCAGCACCAGCTCAGCTCTGCCAGACCAAGGCGGCCTCGAGCCGGCAGACGGCACCATCCTTGTCGGGAAGCCGAGCCCTCTCTTCTTTCAAATTAACTGGGGGAGAGCTAAGCACAGCCGAGTGAAGTTCGGCCCTGGGGGATTCCAGTCTAGTGGACTATTACTGCTGTCTCACTTCATTATAATGAATAATAAAGAGATACTTACACACGGCTTCTGTAAATTATTCATCGCGTGCACCAAAAAATCAGGGCAGCAATATGTAAAACAGACAACTCGCATGTCTGCGCTCATATAAATATCCAGACTACAGCCCTGCGAGGTGCTCTTGGGTCCCCTCATTAGGGGTGAAGCACAAGGACTAGGGTTTGAAGTGACAGGGACGAGAAGCTCGCGCTGAGCACGTTCGACTGTCACTGCCCGGCTTTGGCTGGCGCGTATGGGATGTGCTTCCCAGGGAAATCTGAGGCTGGTCCAGGACACCCAAGAACTGGGGCAGTTCATTTTGCATTTACAGCTCGTATTTACATCTCAGAGCTGCACCTGCACAGGCACACAGGGGGTGTCCCAGGTGGACACGTTCGTGTGAGGGAGGGGAAGAACAACATCGGCCTCCCTTGTCTGTGGTGACAAGTACAACCCTAGAAACCACTCAGAGCGAGGGGGCAGGAACCTGAGACCTCTCTAACAAACTCAGGGCAAGAGCAAGGAGGCAAAGGCCCCTCCTCCCTACTCCTTGAGCTCATTCTTCAATTGCTGCCACTCAATAGCTAATTCAGGACCAAGTCCCTTTGGCTCCGATTGTGCAGCATTGTGCTCCTTTCCACCAGAGTCCAGGCTGTCTCCTGCAGCTAAACAACCAGGAAAACCACCCTCCTTCAAAAAACCAACCCTTCTGCATCTCCTGGAAATGCGTCAGAACCACCACCAGCAGAAAACCCACCAGCCATCAGCTGGCAAAGAGCTCTCAGCATTCCTGGAGGCACCTTCTCAGCTGACCTTGCCTTCCTGCCAACAGTTTTCCTGTGCCTGGGCAATTGGCACTACAAAGGAAATGCTGATGGACAGCCTGGCACAAGGAGCACCTCCTCAGCTTCTTTACCTGTCTGGGAAAGCGATCTCCATTAGCTGCTAAGCTCCCTTGTCTGCTGAGCCGTCTTTGCTACCCATTTCCAATTGACCAGGATTATGATAATGTCTCCAGTAAGCAAACAGGTAAAGAGACTTCTGCAAAGTGTTTAGATAAAGCAGACAAGCTCTGACAAAGCTGGATAATAAAGCAGGCCAGGAGGTTTTCCCTTGAAGGGATCTAATTAAAACCAAAGACAAACCCCCATTAACAGTCTCCTGAAGGCGCCGTATCCATCTCCAGAAACTCTGCCTTACGAGTCCAGAAGGGACAAAAGACAATAAAGGGCCTGTCAGATGGGAGGAAAATAAACCCATTCTGGCTCTGCAGTTCACCTGGAGAAAACCCATCAGCAAGGCAGGGGGAATATCTCGGGAATGATATCATCAGCCCAAACCTGAGCCCCTGGCACACACCCGTGTCCCGGCTCCCCCACGCAGCCCTTCTTCGTGCTCCTCCATCCCTGCATCCCACTCAGACCCTCACTGCCTTTAAGCAGAGACTTTTCACCATCTGCAAACCTTCAGCTGCCTCCAACCATGACTTCCCTCCTCCAGAGCAGCTTGCTGGAGAGCTCTGGATGCTGGGCCTCGCCTGAGCTCCAGCCCCTGGCGCTCACAATGATACATGTGGCCTCTCGAAGGCTTCATCTCCTGAGGCCCATATTAATCCCCTCTCTCTGTGGGAGGACGAGAGCTGCCGTAGGGATCCCAGCACTCCACCAGAGATGAGGGCGCTGAACCTGAACACGGCAGAGTGAGAAGATGCATGAGGGTGGGAGCCGGGGGCACCGGCGCTGCGCCGCTTCCCCTCTAATTGCCCCCATTCCTCATCCTTAAATGCTAATTTTGAAGTTTGCCGTGGAATTATTTCACTTAGTGTCAACAATACAGATAACTCCGCTGACGTGCCCTTTGTGTTCGGCGGCACAAAGTGACCGTCTCCCTCCTCCTGCACCTATTAGGAGAGACCCCCGCGCTGCTCCCACAGCAGGCTCCTGCCCAGCCCCATCAATGACACTGACAGCACCACTCCTACATGTGGGATGAGCCACAACACCCTCCACCTTCATCCTCCACCTTTCCCAGCCATGTTAGGGACCTTTCCTGCACTGCTGACTCATCTGAGCACGAGGGCAAAGCCTGGGGTTGCCCTCGACACCTGCCCAGTGGTGAGGGAAATATCTTGCCCACAGTCAGCACAAGATTTCTGGAACTAATTTGGAGGGATAAATGGCACACAAAGAGTTGGAGGCATAAAGCAAGTCTTGCAAAACCCTCTCCGTGGGTCAAAAATATCCTGAGGATATTTTGCATGAGACCCCAAAATGTAGATGTGCATCCTGAGAAATGCCTGTACCTGCAGAGCTGAGGCAACTGGTCCCTGTCCATGACAAGAGGCTGGGGGGAGATGCTCATCTATGGATCAACCCAAATTTGTTGTCCATGGTGGGATTTTTGGCATTCTCTTGGAGCTGGACTCGATGCTCCTTGCTGGTCCCTTCTAACTGAGGATATTTGATGATTCTATCATTCAAACCCCCCCCTCTTCCTTATTCAAACCAACAATGCTCTACTTTTAAACTCCTCTATGGCCCTTCAACCCCAAACTGCTTCTCTCTCCTGCAGGTAACGTGTCTCATCAGGATGACAAATGGAGATGCCAAAACCAGGTGCAAACTTGCCAGCTGACCCAGTTTTCAGCGGCTAAAATAGCTCACCCGGATCGGGAGAGAAGCCCCTTGACAGTGACCAGGTGATGCTTCACCCTGGGATGCTTCCAACCAAAAATACCTGTCACAGGGGCAGAGCAAACCCCCTTGTCTCTGAGAAGAAATTGTTAATTACGTTTGCCGGGGACTCCTAATGGGATTTCTCCTTTGCTTCCAATATTCGCCCCGGTTACACAGTGAACGGGCTCCGAACGCTTTTTATTCCGGGCGGCTGGAGCAAAGGCAGAGGAGATTTATTTGTAATCATCGGAAATAAACACACTTCCTCAGAAGTAAACACAAAAGAACAGAACCTGGCTGGGCTCCCACTTCGTTAAAGATGCAAATGAGAAACAGGCCATCAAAATGCGGCGGCTCCTCTAATCCTCTCCCAACAATGTGTCCCGCCACATTATCCATAGGGACAATGGCAACCATGGCTTGTGATGACGGGTCTCACACAATAGCTCCTGAGGGCAGGATTGCACTGCCTCGGCTTCCGTCACTGCTATCCATGATATCCTTGGGAGGCACTTTGTCTTTAATCCCGATCACTTCTGCTGGCATCTGTCTCTTCTTTGAGTCACCCACGGTGCCCCTTCTCCCCTCTCTCCCACCCACCCTGGTGCCTCAATGTGGGGTGCACACCTCCACACCATCCTCATGTCACACCAGAGCCCTGAGGATGGAGAGGACCCAGGATGTGCCACTTGGCATTGCCCAGCACAACCACCTCCCATCCAGCCCTCAC